ATTGTACAATTTCAATAATTAATCTTAAATTGGAAAATCCCAGCACTGTGAATTGAACTCATTGTTGCAGAAACTGTGTGCATTATCCTCTGGTTGCAGTTGTTTTGGGGCATTTCAGCTTGCTCTTATTTGTCTGTTGTTGTGAGACCTATTCATTTAAATAATTTTAAAAGGGTAAGAAACGACAGACGGGGTGGAAAGTGAGTGAAAGGAAAGGCAGAAAGGGATGAAAAGAGAACATGAAAGAAGGATCTGAGGGAAACTCAGAGCACACAGGAGCTGATATAAACAGACTTTAACAAGCAGGCGTACCTGGTTTTCTTAGAAAAGCAGGTACTCTACTTGTTAAAGTACTGAAGCAAAGAAAGTTACAGATCAGTCTGAATGAGTCAGTGTGGCTTGCGTGTGTGTGTGCATGAGGCCTATAAACCAACACATCTGGGACTGTTTGTCACTTCATGAGAACAACAGTAAGCGTGGCAGGATCTGCACACATTCATTAGAGCTGGAGAGTGTTGCTCCGTGCTGGTAGTTGTAATAATATATTTCCTGCGTAACAACGCCTGTGTAATGACAGACTGTGATTAGATCATCAGACTCTCACTGCAGCAGCCTGAAGTCACATTACCGTGTCTAGTAGGTACAACAAAAACTCCTCAGGTTTCGGCTACGGGAGCGAGATCAATGACATTTTTATTTCAACAAAAGTATTACTGTGTGCTCTACAGTGGTAGTGTGCTGTTATGTCTACTCAAGAGCCTAAGTTTGGGGTCAGAAGTGGTCAGTTTCTTCAAATGTGAATGTTATATCCTACATTTATATAGGTTCACATCAAGCTAAAAAACAACAAATTACAATGAAACTGGTTATGGGCGCTTATTATTTCAATAATCAATTAAATACAAAATTTCAAGCAAAAATAGTGACAAAATGGCAATTTAAGCTAAATATTTTTGGGTTTTGGACTGCTGGTTGTAGAAAAACAAGGCATTTAAAGAGGTCACACAGGGCTGTTTATTTCAAGACTAGAAAGGTGCTATATACGTAAGTATTGTCCATTGTACCATTCCTGGGATGAATGTAGCCTGTGACTCAAAGCCCAGAGCGAGAAAAGTCTGTAGGACACTGCTTATGTCTCACTGCGATAACTGAAGGTGATTCAGACGAAAACATCAACATTTTCACAATTCTTTTTTGGTATTCTGGCAGCTGGACAGCGACGGTGCTTTAAAACAGCGAGCAGTTGCTGCCTCCATTGTATTAAGTGCAAACACGGCAGTGGCGGTGACACGGAGAACGGGTGTGGCTACCTCTCTAGTGAAGGTTCAACTTTTACAACTGGCCGTAGCAGCTGGTGTGGCCATAGCAACCACAAAAATCACAGTGAGGAAAACGATACAAGAGATGGTTTTACTGATTTCTGAGTTCCTTAAATCAACTTCCTCCTCGCAAGCGAAGAACAGATAGATCCGTGAAGAGACACGGTATCAGTTTTAAAGTCTGATTATCCAGTCTTAGTATATTAATCATGTAATACTGCTAACCATATCCTACAACCTGCTCTATTCAGCTGAGATCATACTAGTTGTAGTACTATTGTAATACTAGTAGTAACAGGCTGGTAGAGGGACCTACTGTAACTAAAGAGGACAAAAAGAAGAGGAGAAGAAGAAGAGTATGGGGTACAAGTAGGGTTCAGGAAAGTGAGTAGGACATGTCCTAACCCACATGCATCTTAAAACCACACGCTTCTGATGTGGCCTCACTTGCTGTTGCAGAGGCATGTACTGTTAGTGAGTCTTGGTAAATATTTGCTCTGCAGAGGACATAAAGACGAGCTAAGACGAGAGGTAATGCTTTGAGAATCGCTGAAATTTGGGGTGAAAGACTTGAAAAAGGGAGAGGGCAGGAAGAGGAGGGCGTCTTTCTGTGAAATGTCTGCTTCAAGCTGGTGTGTCTCTCTATTTTTTTTTCAGGCAGCTTCTTCTTGAATTCCACCTTTTCCACCCCTCCTCTCCCTCTGACAGAATAACTTCTCCTCTTGTTACACTCTGCGTTTGCTCACACACACACACACACACACACACACACACACACACACACACACACACACACACACACAACCCCTCTCTCTCTCTCTCTCGCTCTCTCTCACTTTTCCAAGAATCCCTCTCTTCCCCTGACACAAACTTCTTCTTGTCTTTCTGTAGAATCTTTTTCTCTCCATTTGGCTCTGCCTGTTGCTGCTGCTGACCCTCCCTCACTTTACTCCCTCTGTCTCCTGCAGCACCAGGAGAGTCTACGTCCTCCCATACTACACCTAAACGCTCATTCTCACCAGCCTTCAACTCCATTTCTTTTTTCCCCCACTCGCTCTCCACCTTTTCTTCCCCCCCTTGCCCTTTAGCTCACCCTCCCACTACTGTGTGCAGATTTTCTAAAAACAGTACTCTCTTTCACTACTACTTAACTGCGTCACTTCCTTTACCACCTTCCCTTTACAACCTCACTCTTGTACACTCATACACACACACACTTCCCCTTTTGCCCCCTTTCTTCTCCTTTGTCCTTCCCCTGGTTCCCCACTTGCTTCTGAGCAACAGTACAAACACCCATACACAAAGCCAATCACACTTTTGATGGGCCTCAGGCGCAGTGTGTTATGACAAACACACCTAATAGATAATAGGATGTGTCACACTCCGTCTGGCTCACCCCCTAATCACACACACACACACACACACACACACACACACACACACACACACATATACAGTACATACAAGCCTGGGCAAAGTCCTGCATTCATCAGCTCTTAAACCTATTTTTAAGCAATGAAAAGACTTATAAAAATGTGGACTGACAATATTACTGCAGGAGCAAACAAGGCTAACGCAGAGGCTAATGTTGGGTAAATATGTAACCCAATGAGTCAGGCTCAGCCATCACAGGACTGCTATTAGCACTGTTGGCACACACAGGGCGAGTATTCTGCCAACTACTAAATCTGTTTTAACATGGGGACTATCACACACAGCCGGGCAGAGACAGAAAAAGGGAGAGGGGGATGAAAGAGGGCAAGAGAGGCTGCCAAATTATCTTAAGAGATGAAAGTCAAGTACCCAAGAGTGCCAACCCGGGCCCAAACTCAAGTGTCTCTACTTCCACTCAGTAAAGAGCCAGTTGTGGAAATAACGTGTGAGAGGGAAAATGCGCAAGTGTCTGTGTGTGCGTGGAAGTTGTTAACTTTAATCTTATCATCTCTCCCTATGCTCTCACTTAAAACAGACCTGCTACAAGTGGCCTGCTGGCATAAATACCCCGGTCACATGTCACTCTGGGTATTTTTGTCCCCATGATCAAATCTTAAAAGGGATTACGGATCAGTTTCCTTCAGTTTATTTTATTCATCTGCCCCTCCATCCATCACAGGCCATATCTCACACATGGCTAATCGATTTTCATGAAATTCAAGCAGGAATAATCACCCCCTGCATTTTGGTGTTTTTTAAATAGCACTCTGATAAGCCCAAGAAAAATGTCAGGTCATATTGTTTAGGCCGGGGTTTTATTTAAAATTTTTGTTGTGAGTTTCAGTCCAAAACAGTAAATTAGTTTGTTCCTATAAACATGTTTAATACAGCTGTACAAGCTCTTTGCCCAAATAAGAGTAAAATTTGCAAAATTATGATTTATTTCTAAAACTGATCAGGAAGGACTGTAATCAATTAGTCAATTAGCTGGCTAGCTAACACTGGAACGCTTCCAGAAATGTTGATTAAATGATGATTCTCGTCTTTAAATGATGTTGATACTTCACACGTATTGAGCAAAGGAACGCGCTGCAGTTGAAGTTGTTAAATCTTTGTGCTTGCATACATTCAAGCTGAAATCTGTGACTTTCCACCTGTTGTCGCTCTCTCCGGGGACAAGAATTGATTGATTGTTTGAAAAATGGCAAAGATGGTGGAAGGTTATGTAAAAAACCTGCTGTTCATTTTTGAAGCAGCTGTTGCAAAAGGTGGAAAATGTGCAGGCTAGCCAAGTGAAATACCGATGCAGCTGATTTTGATTTGACATATATGAAATGTGTCACACATGTGTTTTGCCAGGACAGCTGCAGCCTAAAAATGGCTAATGTTCCCCAGTTTTAGATACAGAATTTTTACATTATATTAATTGAAGGACATTAGAAACTCAATGTGTTGTTGTAAAATCCTCTTTAGCCACAATATTCACTCTCTATTTCACATTTAATTGAGTGAAATCAAGTGTGGAATTCCTGTCTCAGTGAAACCTGAGATACTGCAAGGTCGACCTCAGTTTCTCACCTGTGTATTGAGGGTGAGTTCGCCCATCTGACACGACCCGCCTGTCTGTGTCTCTGGCTGCTGTTTTTGGCAGCACGTACGCACACTTTGCTACCGATAATGCTCGCACTGTGCTGCACTGAGAGCTATGGAGCGGGTCGCAACCCCAATCATCACTGCAGGCCCCGAGCCAGACAGGACATTACATCGATACACACTGTGCTACTGACACACACACACACACACACAAACACATATTTATGCTCACAGATATGTGTAATCAGTCGCGAACATACTGAACGCAAACAGGCATGTGTATGGCTTCACAACAGAGGTGTGTATTCTGGTTGTGACCCAGAATACACCCACACCATGGAGTAGCAGAGGTAGGTTTCCATCCGAGTGCTCATAGACAACCAGCTAGTGTTGGACCTCGGGAATGATCTACCTATCAAATACACTCTGCTGACCTTCAACTCCTCAGTTTACGGTCACCTAACTGCTCTCTTCAGCACATGGTGTGCATATAAATCAAGGATGACTGCAGGCTACATGTAGAAGTGAGCAGGGGAAAAACACACTGAAGAACTGGTATTAAAGTAAATTACTGAGATTATTAAAATGGCATGAAGCCAGTAAATTAAGAGGAATATTAATGTTGTTTCTGGGGTTTATGGGTAAAGATCTTACCTGTGAGAAGCACCTGCGGAACTCCTTCTCCGGCCCAGGGCATCTGTAGACCTGAGGAGCTCCTCTTCCTCCATCCCTGCCTGATTCGACTCCCATGTGCGGGATGTGCGGGTGCTGTAGGGGGTAGACGTTGCCGGCGGGTGGGACCTGTGGGCTGAAGCCTGGGTGGAGCTCCCTGTCTCTGTGCACGGGGCTGGGACGATGGAGCGAAGTGGAAAAAGGTGAAGCCGCGGCGGGGGAGTTTGGGCGAGAGAGAGGAGGGACGGGAGGATGTGGCGCAGTGACGGAGTGCCAATCAAACCGGTGGCGGTTGGGTAGGTGAGATGACGATGAGGAGCGATCTCTCACCCTCCCGTGTTCTGTACTGGTGTGCAAGGGTCTGTCAACATGATGACGGTGGGGGTTGCCAGTTGTGGTTGTCGTTGTGGGCAACTCCTCAGCAGCAGGTGTGTCAGTGCCCTTCTCCTCTTCCTCACCCCTTCCAGCCTCCCTGTCTTCTCCATCAATCCGCGCCTCTTCTTCCGCTCTCCTGGTAGTCTCTGCGTCGTCTTCACTGACGGCTAGTCCAGAGGCCGATGTCGCAGTGTCAGTACCATTAGCAGTGTGGCGAGCCTGCCGGTTGGGGCGATGCAGAGGCAGAGAGAAGGGGACCCTGCCATACCCAAACTGACCTGGACGGATGTTGGAAGACCTACGAGTGAAAGAGGAAGAGACAAAAACAGGATGAAGAAAAACAGGGAGTATTTAGAGGGAAATATTAACAGAAGGAGTCAGTGAAAGAGATGAAGAAAACAGAAAGACGTGAATAAATTTCAGATAAAGCTCATGTTCTAGCATAATTATAACTGACATGGAGCCAGCAGGCTGTGGTGAGCGGGCAGAGTAATGCAGCGCTGGTTTGTGTGACAAAAACCAGAAGTAATGATGTCATAAAACAGCAGATACCAGTGGGGCATAACTCCAACACCCAATACTCGAAACATCATAACAAACCCTCCCTAATGCCTAAACAGAGTCAGCACTTTAACTAATGGCACCTGGATGAATCCTAAGCACCGGTATTTTTTTTACCTTCCCCTTTGTGATGAGGTACAAATCTTTTCTTTGTCTGGTGGCTCATCTCAACAATTGAGTTCTTCTATTTATTCTAAACAAGCCGCTGTTGCTACTGCCAGCGAGGCAAAACTCACTTCCTCTGTGGTGGAGTCATTTTCCTGGAAAAGAGCAGCTCAGGGTGCTTAGCAAAGGACATGTAAAAACTTCCGTTAACAGGACATTGATTGAATCAGTGTTTGTATGTATTATCCACTTTGACTTTAAAATAAAAAACACTTTCATCGATAAGAAAATGTTAACAATTGTTGTTTTTAGGGCCTGAATGATGCTGGCTTTTACACCAATGATAAGGTAAATGTAAATTTTAATTAGTGAAGAATTGGGACAGTGGGACATTTTACAGTTAAAAAAAAATTAACTTGTCAGTGCTCTCTGATAGACAAACTATACAATGACTGAGATTAAAAATTAACCTTAACCATCAAAACTTCTCATCGATGTTGTCTTAAACATTTTTAAATTGCTCAGACAAAAAAAGGAAATTTGAACATCTACATTTTGGCAACTCCTTTAGCTTAGGATGATTGTGCGATATGATTGAAAGCTCCGGAACAACTATTGAATGGATTGTGTAGTGAGATCGCTTTAGTTGACTATATATCGGCTGTTTCTACACAACCTCAAATATATCTTTACTGAACTTTCCTCTTATTTATCAGCATGTATGCAGATATTTATATAGCTGTGATAAACTAGGCTCTAATTGGTTAGTTTGCTTTATAACTGTCCAGTCTTCCTCACCTCCTCGAAGGCAAATTCTCCCGATTGGGGGAGACCGACCTTCTGCTCCCGCCTCCTCCAGCCCTCACTGCTCCCGGATTGGTCGGTCTCCTGATGATCCGTGATGGCTGGTTGTAGCTGTGTGAAGGGGCGCGGTAGGGCGATCGATAAACGGACACATGGTCTTGATTGGTTGGGGGGAATTCTGGCTGGTAAAGAGGTGAGGATGGATTGGCCTGTCCCGGTACAGGAGCTCCTCCTCCACCTCCTCCTCCTCCTCCTCCTCCTCCTCCTCCCCCAGCGTTGGTATTCCGATACAGCGACAGTCCTGGGTTGTGATTGGTGGGGATCGAAGGGGAGTGATAAGGTGACTGTTGCCCGGGGTAACGAGGAGGGTAGTAGGGGCGCACAGGTGAGATGACAGGACCTCCGATGCCCCCGGGCAAATAACCTGCCCAGTTAGGTGGAGAGTGGGACACGGGAGGGGTGTGGGCAGGTGGAGGAGATAAACACTTCCTGCTCCTCTGTGAGACGCCCACGCCACAGGTCTGAGAGCATTCGGACCACTCCCCCCAGACAGACCACACGCCCTCCACAGGCTCCGCCTCAAACACCTGCCTGGACCGTCGGCCTGCCACCTGTTGCACACACACACACACACACACACACACACACACACACACAAGAGGAGAGACTTGATTGAAATAATTATTAGGGGTGAAACTAATAATTATTTTACTTAATGTTCTGATTATTTGTTTGATTTTTCAACAATTGTTGTTTGACATTCTCCATCTGGAACAGTTTCCTGTTAATAAATTACTTTGTTGCCGACTACTTTTCTATCTGTCATCTGTTCATAGTGTAACCTGTGTGAGGGCACTAACTGTTCCTCAGTACCTTCATCGTATTCTTTTTATATTAGTAACATTACCATAGAATAGACTAAATAAAACAATGTTTCGAAACATCAAAAAATTTTACTAATGGTATCTCTTTTCACTTCACGTCTAAGAGAAGTTCTTGATTTTGTTTAATTTTGTGAAAATCTGACTCATGGCTCAGTTCTCTGTATGGAACAAGGAAGAATAGAGGCATTGGGACAATTTTTGAGTTTAACTAAGCTAGACTGGTTAAAAAAGTACTTTAATTGAATGTTCCAGTGCACTACAACTCACTGTAACTCTATCTCTGCTGTAAAAAAAAAAAAAAAAAACAGGTAAAAACTGCAAGCTTTGGCAGTATTTTGAAGAAGTACTTAACAAAAACGTTGCCATTGCAAAATCCCTGGAAGGACTTATTTCTTCACAGTAACTGAGTTCACTGATGAGCTGCAGTCTCGTGAGTTTCCTTCCTCTGAGGCCAAAATATAAATCCTGAACTTTTCATAGTTCACTCAGGCTTAGAAGAGACTCGGTCACCTGCCAGCAGCTTATGAGCAGATGGCTAAATTCATTTGACTTGGTGTCATATAAATGCGCTGCAGAAAACGACAAGATTGGGGGCTGAGCTGGCTTCGCATGTGTGTTTGTATATATATGTGTGAGTGCATGTATGTGGGTGCCAGGTCAGGCTTTGATGTCTTCCTCTGTGGCTGTAGATAAATGTTTCTCCTCTCATTTCATAACTGAAGCATTGGCCTGGTTGGCAGAGCAGCAAACATGAGAGCTGAACAAAAGTTTCCATTCAGAAAGAACCAAAACATAAATCTGCGCTCCACTTCTCCCTTCTCTCTCTCTCCGAGGGTGTAAATGTGTGTGTACACGGGCAGAAATATGCAAGTAAACATACTGTACAAACTGATATTGCGTAGTTGTGGAGAGAGAGGACAGGTGTACGCGGCATACTTGTGTGTTTGTGTCCTCTGATACTGTATTATCCAAATTAAAAGAGTTCCTGTCTCTGTCTGAGGTAAAATGGCGGGAGGGTGGGAGAAAGGGAAAGGGGTAAGAGAGATGAGGGGGGGCAGACAGGCCTAATGACTGTGAGTGTGTGTGTTTCTGAAGGGGAGGTGTGGTGTTTTGTAATGAGTGACATCAAATACACAGCTGCCACATAACTGGGACCATTAATGAGCTCCGTGCAGTGACCCTGCAGCAGCCGTCGCTGACCTCTGGAGCTACTGGTTAAACTCCTGCGACACTGTACCACCAGGCCTGAACCAGACTGGAGTGGAGCTGTGAAATTTTTATGCTGGTATTACTGTGAGCCCTCTCCAGCTGTGGGCCCCTTTAAAGGATAGGTTAGTATTTTTTAAATTCTTTTAATGCTGTAATTATTCCTCCTCTCCATATTCCTGCCATAACCAGTCTCAAGTGGAGGAAATAAAATTAATTGTTTTAAATATTAGGAACAACTTAAATGTAGACGTGTTTTGGCCATCAACAGCTCCACTCCTGTCTGCCTAAAGTATATTTTCTTCTTCTAACAGGGTCAACAATTTACTAAGAACAACTACATTCAACCCACATCAGTCAGACACAAAGATTGACTAAGACTAATACTTAATACAGTTGTGTATTAAGTATTAATTTAAGTGTTAATGTGTAACCATTATAAAGTCCAGTATATAATGGTACTGGTTGTAGTCAATGAGCTTCAGTTGCCTTTGAACTTCATCTTCTTAAACCTGCACCAATTGACTTTTTGGCCACTAGCGGGCAGCAGAAACAAGTTATAAACACAAAGCTTTTGGGTGAAGTTGTTAGCAAACATTTGCTTATTTACACATGTTGCAGTTAGAGCAAAATTATCATTCAGAAAGAAACGGGGTTCTCCACCCAATCTTCCGCCAAATGCAGCCGAATCAGGTGCTTCTTAGACTTTCAAGGACAGCAAACTTGGTGAGAACAAAGGAGGACTGGAGCACACTGATTAATTCACAGCCTTTAATTGTGCAAACAGACTAACATTTTGACACTTCTGTGTCTTTGTCAGAGTCATAAACATCATCGTTCATTTGGAAGTCCAATAGTCACTCTCTTTTAGCTCTGTTTTGGTCTCTACCTCCTTCTGAGAGAAATATCTGCCTCATTAGCTGCTAAATGCTTTACTTTATTCACCAGATAGTCGCTAACTGCGTCTGTCTGAAGATTTGGTGCACTGTTAACAGTGGTTCATGAAAACAATGTGTTATCTATAACAAAAATGTGTTTTAAAGTTCAGCTGAAGCTGATATGAGGCTTCATCAGTCTGTGTTACTGAATTCAAGTTATCTATTTATCTTCCAAAGTTACAGTCTTTTTTAGCACTAAATTCCCTCTTTGTGTTTTCTTAACCAGTGTTTCTCAAATAGTCTGGACAGGATGAACATTTGCAGCCTCCAATAATGGGCTTGTCGGGATTTTAAGACACACTGTGATAAAATGTCCTTTAATTGTCATAACCTTTCACCCCTCTATAGTGATGCTGTTGTCTGTGAATCTGACTTATAATGAGCTAATGACTCACCTTCCTCTTGGCAGCCTTGGTCACGGAGGTCGTGACCACCACAAAGCCCCACAGCACATAGAGCCTGGAGGAATGAGGAACAGAGAGCGTGAAAGAAGTGGCAGATCTAGACGATTTTAAGAACCAGCAGGTTGAATAAGGGCTTTTGTAAAAAAACTGTTCCATGACCTAAACATTAAATTGGTATATGTTGCGTGAACTTACAGAGACTTTCATTATTCTCTGTCCAATGGTCCTTAACTTTCTTGAATCTTTTCCCAAAATGTACATTTGGTTTAAAAACAATGTTAAACGTGTTGAGTGAACACCCTCTCAAATGTTCCAGTGACCTAACTGTACTTTAGCAACCAATTATGCCACTTTCTTTGCCACTACAGGTGGCTGAGGACTCAAAGGGGGGATTTGAACACAAGTTTCTTTTTCCCTTCAGGGTTCACAGGCAAACATCTCAATCAATCTGGGGAAGCCTGGGAGGCACTAACAAACTAATGGGTTTAAACAGCAAGTCTGTTTTCCCTCTGCATGCCTCTCTCTGTGACTACACACACCCTGAGGATGTGGTATTCACACACACACACACACACAACAGCCACACTCTCAGGCGCAATCAGTCACAACATCCAAAATCATCTTGTACAGTGAGGTACTTTTTATTTGAGGTTTGATGTTCAAAGGACGTGGTTTATGGTGTGGGATGGTGTTGAATGTCTCCTTTAATTTTGGATTGCTGCCCTTAAATTTGACAGGAAACTACTTTAGGAAGCATTACACACAGCAGGAGAACGTGCAATGAATCTGAAAAAGTAATTTAATCTGATATTGAACATTTGAAGCCTTATTTTTTTTCCTTTAGGATTCATTGTTTCAAATAAATAGTTGTTTAAAGAAAATCTGAATTTCCTTAAATCAGCTGTTGTGTCTATAACTGTGGTTTAGCACACCAGTCTCCATAAAACTGCAGAGACAAGTGTACTGGAAACAAGTGGAATACCATCTCCATATCTGCCAAGAAAATAGCCTGAACATGATACTAAACGGTTCGCTAAGATGGACATTTCAGCGCTCGCCACGAGAACCAAACCATCACCGCAATCACCAGTCCGCAGGCCACATGTAGTCAGAGTAATTGCTGCCTTCTTCCCAGTGTGGTGCACCACCGTGGTCTCTGGAAGCTTCCCCACACCAGACTGCATAACTACCCCGAAAAACACAGACAAAGGTCCCGCACAGTCCGACACAACAGAGCCGCTCAGGCCGAAGTAACGACCCCCTACCCGCGTCCACGTTTCCCTGGCCGCTACAGTGGCACATTGTAGAATAAACTCCGCGGGGACAGGGGAAAGAGAGAGAGAGAGAGAGAGAGAGAGAGAGAGAGAGAGAGAGCAAAAGAGAAATGTAACAAGGAGGAAAAACTCACAAAAAAAAATCCGCCCTGAGGAGAAAGAGAGGGACTCTAACCTAAACCCAGATGCCTAGGGTAAATTCCTATCATATATCCTGCACAGCGCCCAGCGCGCAACAAGAAGACGTCGTGCGTAAAAGCCAAAACTTCGCCACAAAACAAAACAACTTTTTTTCTCTCATTTTTTAAATCTCTCCCTCAATCATAAACTTAAAAACACCATGCCCGCTCAGAAAAAGATGCGACACCCCCCCTCCCACCCCCATGTGGTGTTGTGTACAAGCAGACTGAGAGAGGCAGCAGGTTGCAGCTGTAGAAGTCAAAGTTTTACCTGAATAGTAAACTGAGCCGCATGCTCCCCCAAGAGTCTCCACAATAGTTCTCACTCCGCTGCTGATCACCGCTATTGATTATCGGTCCAGTCTAGTGATTGGTTAGTGTTCCGTTCCGGTCCGTACAGTCCTGAAAGAAATGTGATGAAGTCCTGCGAAGGCTTCTTCAGCTCTCTCTCTCTCTCTCTCTCTCTCTCTCTCTCTCTCTCTCCCTCGCCCTCTCTCGCTTTCTCTGTCCCCTTCCTCCTGTCACAGTCGCTCCCCGTGATTTTTGGAGAGTGGGAAGGGTTCCGTTTTTTTTTTCTTCCTCTCTTTCAGTCCGTTTACTCGACAACTTTTTTTTTGGGTCCTTATTATAAACTGGTGTGACGCCTGGCAGCCAGGGGGCGGGGGGGGGGGGGTCGAGAGAGACAGGGGAGACAGGAGACACAAAATGGACAGATTACACAACTCTCTTTCACACGCATGAACCTCTCTCTCTCTCTCTCTCTCTCTCTCTCTCTCTCTCTCTCTCACACACACACACACACACGCACCACTATGGGCCCTGACTAAGCTATAATAACTCAGAGCCGCTTTCTTAGTTGCACAATCCAACATAAGAATGCTCCATTGTACTAGGTCACACTGATCAGTAGTAATGATCTACTCATTGTCGGAAGCAGCCCTGAGCTGGCAGCATCTGCAGCAGGGACACTTTGTTGGGGAAGTACAAAGCATTATGGGTTCACTATGGTGCCAATACAAACACTAATTGTTCTACAACAAAGTGGAAAATTATTATTTTTTCAACTTTGAATGGATGAAATATTGCTGCGCTTACTGGCAGCATGCAGATGCTTTGCAGAAGATATTTCTGAACGATATAAACATTGCTGTGTTTTCTCATAACTGTTTAATCACAGTTCAACTCATGAAAACAGACATGCTCCACCAATTTGGATTTTAGATAAGTGCACCCAGGAGACATGCCGCTTCTGAGCAGGAATGACTGAGTGGATGTGTGTGTGTTTGTGTGTTTGTGTGTGGGCCGTGAGCTCCTCTTGGTTGCGGTCTGAAGCAGATGTGAAAACTGCATGATTTCAACTTGTACACACAATATTTATTTGGTTGCAATCCACTAACCTTTCCAGTCAGACAGGGCAGTTTTCTAAAACAGAACAATGCCAACCGAGCGCAGCCCACAGGGGATTGTGGGAGGTAAAGAGTGACACAGAGGTGGAGAGGGGAAAAAGAAAAAGAAGAAGAAGAAGAGCTTTACTCAGTTTTTGAAGAGGCTGATATGTTTGTGTCTGCTGGAAAAGACGTCTGGTGGGATGTTAAGTAAACTTTTATCAAAGTTTGAAGAAAAATTGTTTGAAAATATCTTGTCCAACCAAAATTAAGGACATATACACACATATTAACCAAAGTCTCACACAAAGTTGTGCAAATAAGAACTTTTTTACTCCCGCTATCTATTCAAATGTATTGTTTTCAAGAGTACTGTTTGTGTGAGCTGGGTGAGTTGAGAGAGGTGAAAAGCGAGTCCAATTTTCTTTTATATTGTACGTACTATGATGATCTAAGAGTCAGTGTCAGGCTTTTATGAAATGCTTCAACAAACCCAGTAAAAACTGGAAGGGTCTTTCATTTTAATGTGTTTAAGTTGGCTAACTTTGCCTCAAAAGTAGAGAAAAGAAGGAAAGGAGGAAGTCTTTCTTATGATTTATTTAGTAGGTTATGATCAAATCATTTGTACATTTTGTTGTGAACATGAACATCTGCAAATCTGATTTGAAAAACCATGTGAATTGGTTTTCTTTATTTTTGGACTCTTGTAACATTGTTTAAAATGTATGAGCTGCATTCTGGATCTGGTTTATGTTATACAGTTGTGTCTTTCAAGCCCACGAGGGGCTCGGTTGTGTGCGTGACAAATACAAAAAAAACAACATAAGCGTCATCATAAAAAAAAACAGGGAGGAGAGGAGGGAGCTGAGATGGGATGATTAGTGAAGACAATAGAGGATGAAGAAAGAGGGAACAGGCCGAAAGCAGTGCATGAGAGGAATAGAGTTAGATAAAATATGGATACATGAGGGAATAATTAGGCAGTTATAATAATATGATACGAAAAACATGATTTACTACTGATCCTGTGGGAGTTCAGACCACAGCTCATCAACATAACAACACCTCCAGAGTTGGTTGGTCTTGTTCAAGGACATTTCTGATCCTTCTTGAACCTCCTTATTAACATTTCCCACCCCGCTGCCTCTGAGAAGAGAGGCGAGATGGTGGAAATGTGAGAGAAGCTGATGGAGGGGAGGGTGGGTATGTAGTGAGTTATGGTCTAACACATATTAACACGCCCACAGACTTGAGATGTCCCAGGGCCAGGCTGCTGCTTTTCTTGGACAGGCATCCTACAACGTGGACGCAGCGATGGTGATGGAGATTAGTGACTTCAAAGCCCACTGCGAACCAACAACTGAAGACTTAAACCATATTACAGAGCAGGCTTAAGATTTGATCTGTCAAAATAAAAAAGTTAATGTTAAAGGCATGACGAGGGTGGATTCCAGAGGTTCACGCACATGCATAGACACATATGCAGCAGCTTAGGGTGTGTGTGTATTTTGTGTGTGATTAGTGAAATGGATATCTCTGTACTTCTAAGCAGCATGTCTATCAGTAACTACAATTAGCCAGAGGTCATTGCCATGGCCACCAGTGGTCCGTGACCACTTATAGCCCTCTGCTCCCCTCCTCCCTCCCTCTATCTGTCTCTTTCTTCTCCCTCTTTCCATATCTCTCTGTCTCTGGATCCCCGAGAAGCCATAACTTACGTTTGGCCTGCCGACATGCACCACCAACCGCACAACTCTGATAAGTAAAATGTCTGTATCAACTAGTCACCACAACACAGAGATGTGGTATGTTTGTGTGTGTCCGGGGAGGTCTGTATGCAGCAGCTGATCTGTTATTTGTCTCGGATGGTTGATCTGAGTAATGGCACCGCAGATCAGAGTAGCTGGGGGCCCTGTGGGAGAAATATATCACTCGAAAAACCCTCTTGCATGTATAACACCCTGCCTCCAGAAAATACACACACACCCCAGCCTCAGGCCCTGACACAGTAGGCCCGCAACCCGTTTACTGTGAAAGTTAATGAGGCCTCCAGGCTTCTTCAGATCAGCAGAAGGTCGGATCTCGGGTGTTGAACCTCTGCAGGCCGCCTCCCATGAAGACAGCAGCGAGACGGCGAGTGACTTAATGAGGTCAAACAGAGGGGACTAGTATGAAGACCTGTCTGATGGTTATCGTGAAGACCACAGGCCTCTCTGTTCATGTAACACTGGTCCAGTAATGATAACAGAAGAGCTCAGTTCAAACTTAGACAGAGAGGAGTCAAACTGAAACATGCTTCGACAAAGATGCGTATAATTGTCTTTGTGTGGGAGGGAGGTGTTGCCATTACACCAGTCAGTTTAGTCCAGACTGAAATGTCACAACAACTCTGGGATGCCAGAGGATGTAGATTTTGTTGACATTTTCGTTTTTTTAACAAAATGACTCGACAGCTATTTTATGTATTTCCATTAAATTTAGACATTCACGGTGCCTCGAGCATGGATCCTATTAACTTTACTGATCCCCTGAATTTTCCTCTGGCACTACCAGCAGGTCAAAGTTTTTACTTGTCCAATAAAATATCTCCTGGATGTATTGGCAAACATTTTGGTACAGACATTCATGGTTCCCAGAGGATGTTGCCAAATAACTTTGATGATTCCCTGAATTTTTATCTAACGCCATTATATGCTCAAAATTTAATCTGGACAGTTTGGTTGAACTCTGGCTGGAACATGATTCTCCGGGCTGCACTTTGGCAAACATGAATGGGGTTTAGTCTGAGTTATTTGCACTTTTATACTTATACATACAACTTTGTTTTTCTGCTTCGTTACTGCCTTCCATGCTTGATGCGCAGGTCTGGATTGTTGGGGTTTGGCAGGAGGAGACGTCAGCTCCTCTCCGAACCTCTGCAACTTATGGTTACCCATAATACCTTTCCCTGCGTGGCTTCACAGAGATATTTCCATGCATCTTTGTAGAAGGTTAACTCCAAACTTCAAATCTCAACTACACAGAATCCACATCTGTGGTCTAGTAGCACTGGGTTTGCGTCAACGTGGAAGCAAAACAAAGAACCACAAGGCGAAAGCACAAAGAGGGATTATTTTTAAATTCAAGTAGAAAAGTGTTAAAACATTAGTCTTTCTGTTTCTGTCTGGTCTCGTAAATGTGCCAGCCGGCTACAGCACATATGAACGTTACATAAAAGTATGTTAGCACATGCCTTCATGAGTGTCTTCACACTTCTGTCTGTGCATGTTTGAAGACTTACAGATACAAAAGTATGTTACAGGCTTAAGGCAGTAGCACGTAGGTCACCATACAGCACACCAAGGTGACACATATTAATTTGGACAGTGTGAAATCCAAACTAGCTAACTAGGTTTGAGCCTAAGAAGAGAGTCCTGACCCAACAGTACTGACAGCCCGAGAAGCCTCGAGTAGGGAAGAGAGAGAGAGACTGAAAGACGGGGACACAAAGGGAGTGAAAAGAGAGGCAGCGGCAGAAAGGGGATGAAAGAGAATGTGAGAGAAAGAGGTAATGGCAGATTAGATGGGAACCGAGCAAGTGTAAAGGAGAGTGAAAGAGAAAGAACGCTGGAAGGGGGAGTGATTTGTCTGGCTCAGATGGAGTCAATATTTGCTCCATTCCACCAATCCTGTGCCAGGGTCCGGATCAAAGCAGGGCGTGTGTACTCTAAAAAGGGTGCAGAGAGCCAGAGGATAAAACGGCTGACATCTTTACAGTCTGGTCTTGATGTGGCTGAGAGAACCAAGGAGAGATACTTTTTCACTAAAAGCCTTTTAGTTTGACATTAACTTCTGTGAAACTGTAAGCACAGGTCATCGATGAAACTCAGGTGGGAAGATCATTATGGAGGAGACTAAAAAGAAAAGGGCAAACTGAGGGTTAAGAAAGGGTGAAAGAGGGAGATAAGGGGACTGATAGGTGGAGCGCTCTAATGAGGAGTTACAGTCGTCAATGGCGAGACAAGGAGATGAGAGAGAAAGGGTCGGCTCAGTTGGACCCTAATTGGCTGACGAAATTGCTAAAATAACCTTGTTCCAATTATTCTAACAAAGAGCAATTGTTGCCCATTCAGGGAAGCCACTGGGCCACATGTGTACACATAACAACAAACAGGATTTATATCTGTGTGAATAGGCATGTATGGTATGGCTTGGCACAGTGCAGCCATGTTTGGCACAGGCGACACTGGGCCACAAG